GCGGGTAATTATTAAGTTTCAAGGCTTCTTTTATGTGTATCATCTCTTGTCTTAGATTTTCCTTAGTACTACTTAGTTTTGTGCTCTATCACTTAAACATTTCATCAATTCTATTTTTACTGACATAGGATGGGATGGTCTGAAGTCCAAGTATCTGTTTGAATGTGTGGGTTTTCTGTAAACACTAGTGTTTAACTTCCCATCTTCTTTCCTTTTTACACTGCAATCTAACATTCGAAGCTCCCCTTCCTTCCTTCCTGACTTTCCAATTCATCATAAGTGAATTGGATTACCGCCACCTTCGAGTTGATGTGCTCGAAAAATCTATCTATATCTTGTGTTCTGAGTACAGTGAATGTGTCATCTATATACCCCCACCATATTTCGATGTTAGGTGGGGGTGAACGTTTCAGTCGCTATGCTTTCCCACCTATCCATGAATATATCTGCTAAAACCGGGGATATTGGTGACCTCATGACAACTCTCTCAGTTTGTTTGTATACCTTACCCTGGAATTTCTATACTGTGGGAGCCAGGCATAGCTGCACTCTCAGCATTATGTCCTCAGGTGGCACTTTTGTCCTAAGTTCGAGTTCTTGGTTAGAAATGAGTTCGTTTCTGACTGCCTGCTTCTATAGCCATATTTATTACCGGTATACGTGTATATAAACTGACAATGTCAAAACTAATCATTTTTTCTTCATTATCTAATTTTAAATTATTTAATCTGTCTATGTTTTAGTTCATAAGAATTAATTAGTCTAGATTTCAAGTGGCCCTGATATCTGGAAGGTTCTACTACACCAATGACGACAAATAGGAGAAAACAAAGAAAACTAACAATCGTTTTTGACAACTCATCACTTTTGTTGCTATCCTCTTACCAACATCCAATTCATCTGAAATCACTAATTGTATTTTCGTTTGACAAATTTAATGTATACACACACACACACACACACAAAATAACCATATATATTTGCGATTATACATCTATGAAAATGAATTCGCCGAAAAGAGACTCTTCGGTGAACTACTTTTCTTCTGTCTACTAATGTTCGAATGGGAATTATTCATGAAAACTATAAAACTCAAGTTTCAAAGTCGAGTGATTACAACTGATATGATTATGAACAGCAGTAAATTTTGTTCTGAACGTCATTCAGTAAATAATACTGTTTCACTGTGTAATATATCTATATTGTATTATATTCATTATTTTTTGCCGACGTGATTTCATATTTGTTTTTTTTTTACCAACTAATATGAACCATTGACCTTTATAGACATTTTCATGACCTTTTAGAATATTATGTACAACTTTCTGTACAACTTTGAATTGAAACTACAAGGAGAATAGTCATAACTGACTCATATGATGACATTTCAATTTATATCACATGAGTTAATTTTGTTGATACTCAATGTGGAAATCAATGGCTTTGCTAGCAACCCTTGTTTATGTGGATCAGCTTAAACTAACTACATGAAGCTAAATACGAGGATAGTGAGAAGTAATCTTCATATACAAAAAAAAAATAAACAAAAACAATATGGCTGATCAAAATTTGATCTACTCCAGTTAGTTCGACTGCATACACGAACCGACTTCCACACCAAGAACATCAACATCAATAGAAAACTTTACAATATTCTGTTATTTGATACAATTCATACATTTGCATTTGCGATAAAGAAATCAAAATAATACAAAAAAAACTGGATTGAACTAGAATTTCGACGTAGAACATAGCACAGAAGTGTAGAGGTTCAAGCTATCCTCCTCCATATACAATACAAAAGTTCAGTTGAGCGAAGCACGACTATATAACATATCGAAGTTGCGTCATTTGCTTTATCCCCTAGGATGGGATTAGGGTGCTTCAATAAACCGGCCTAAATATCCCTGCATGATTTCATGAAAATTAAATAATATACGATTTAATAATGTGAAATATTCCCATATCATAAATTAAAGTCAATCTGAACAAAGAATATTCTTTTCAATAATTTCTCCTATTCAGGTTCTTACAATTATAAAATTTAATATTTACTGTCGTTACAATAATGGCCAGTTAGTTATGCGGCGAACACATTTTTAACGTAGAATAACAGATTAGTAGTTGTTGGGTTTTAAGTGGCGTCCAATGTTCACCCAGCAACTCAAAGATGTTTTACCTAACCTTAGCTCTTCAACTATTCCTGTGTTTCAAGTAATATAGGGCGAACGATTAGGCAGGTTCATCTATCGGTTCGAGAACATTTACCAGCTTGGTTCAATAGGGGGAAATGAAGTGCATAAAAAGCTCGATCCTGTCACACTTGGCTGATACTGGACATCGTATCGATGTCAACACAGCGTTTAGGGTTATATACCGAATTCCGAAGTCGTTATCACGTACAGTTCGCTTACGTCTCCCACACAGCGCTGAAGCTGTTACAATAAGATCGACTAAAATGGAACTTGGTATCCAAAAAGAACACGTCCAGACGCTGTTCCTACCGTGGCTAAACTTGGATTGATGATTCTTTTTATCATCGAGAGTGCTTCTTCCCCTTAACCCTCCTGGTTTAATTTTCCCTTGCTTTTTATTGTTATTATTATTATTAGGGCGTCGCTGGCACAGCCATTAGACCTCTTGCCGACCATGCACATGGTCCGGGGTTCGATCTCCTGCCAGCGCACAGCTGATATCAATGGTCGGCCTGTAAAACTTGGGCTACCGATTTCACAGGCTGAGAATTCCATACTTATATCAAAAATACGGTGTGGAATCAAGCTATAAGCAAAAAAAATAATAATTTATGCCCTTTATGTAAACATTCTCCCATTACTATCGAATTTACCATTTATACTATCTGAACTTATTTTTAGTGATATTATCTTTTTTCTCAATATATGCCTCCACCTATTTCTTCATTTCACACATTCATTATTTCATTATGAACCTCTCATTGCAGTCTTACTATCTCCTGTTTAATACAGACCACTTTGTACTAGCCACTCACTCACCTGACACCTTTTATAACCTTGAACTGACTTATTTGTCAATTTTCCTACCCCACACTCTACAAATCTATCATGACTGATCACCACCATTGTCTCCCATTTTACCGAAATATTTTGGTAATCGATTTCAGCCAACTAGCACGTTTGTCATACAAATACGATTATTTATTTTGACACCCCATAACCGCTTGTCTGTTATTCTACGTTAAAAATATTATATTTTATAATTGTAAAAACCTGAAGAGGAGAAATTATTGAAAAGAATATTCTTCGTTCAGATTGACTTTTAAATAATATACGTTCAACTTTTCAATTTACCGCCTCCTTTAATTCATTAAATTGTACAGTGAAGATAGCAGTATGAAGCGACATTTTCTGATACAAGTGTAGAAAGTGTGGAGCAGTTGAAGTACATTACGCCGACGATTTTACGTACATCAGAGACATTTTTATTACAAAATTTCATTCAAAGAATATAATTTGTCATTAAACCACTAAAACAATGGACTATAACGTTACAATTAACGAGGATATGAAATAAAGTTACTCAACTTTAAGTGTTCACCCTAAACGATAGTCATAATGACAATCCTATAAGGCAACATGAGTTATTCTTACAGTATTTTGAAGAAATGTATCCGATTTACTACTTTTACACTTCTTGAAGCAAGTTTCACAAAAATACTTTTTTTCTGCTTAAATTAGCTTGGTTTGCTATAAATGTCCGTATCTGGGTCACGTATCTCGTAGGTGAGTTGCTTCATTACATATCCTCGATAATTGTAGCGTTAAAGCTTGTAGTGGTTGAATGACAAGTTATATTCTTTGCATGTTTTTAAGGGAAATTTTACATTAAAAATGTTTCTGACGTACTTAATATCAGCGGCATAATGTACTTCAACTGCTCTACAATTTCTTCACTTGTGTCAGAAAATGTCGCTTCATACTGATATCTGCCATACTCAATATAATGGATTAAAGGAGGCGGTAAATTGAAAAGTTAAATGTATATTATTAAATTTTCATGAAATCATGCTGGTGTATTTAGGCTCATTTATTGAAACGCCCTAATCCCTAGGAGATAAAGCTGCTGGCGCCACTTCAAAAAAGTGATATGTCATGTAATCGACCAATTAAGTTGAGAGTTGAAGTAGGGGGTTAGAATTAGTTCCTATGACATTTTTACTGGATTAAATCTATTCTCTAAATCCTGAACAGTATTCGTAATTAATACGGAACTTGATTTCTCTACAAGATCATTCGTACCCTCGTTTGCTCGGAACACCACTGTTTAATTGCCCCCAAAAAATGTTTAGAAATTTTCAGTTAGCATTTAGTTTAAAACAATTTACGGGGAAAATTTCTTTCTTAAATCCTGAATCCCATACATCGTTGGCACTTTACTCAATTTTCTCTTCACTCAACCAAATTTGCCTTTCCAATACAATTAGTTTGATCTAAGGCAAGTTAAGCTCACTCACTTGAGGTCTTAGTTTACAAATAGTAGTAAGATACAGATTAATTAGATTTTAACATCAGCAATCGCTCGAAGAAAAAACAGAAAGTGAGATAACAAGTATAGTGTTTCGGTGTTGAGTGGGCTAAGAACAGAATGTCATCCATTCAAACCAAAAGGTTCAAGCTCGATTCCCTGCATAACCACTCCTAAACCTAACCTAGTTGATATTAGTAGGCTCAGAGGAGAGGCTAGGCTTGGCCTGCGGCTAGCAACCCCACTCCGTAAAGACAAAACCATAGATACTGAAACTTCAGTGCCTGAAGCGTGAAGCCCTTCGTTCCACTCGGAAAGCATAAGAATGAAAAAAACAACTGGATAAAGGGACTAAGTAATCCTAAGGGGTCATATAAGTATAGTTTATAATATGAAAAACATTATAAAATATATTTAAACTATCAGTAAATTAGACAAATACCTAGTTTTATCAAATCATAAGGCCTAAAGTACAATTTTACGCAACTGTCTCTTACCTGAGCCTGATAAACCTGAAGCTACTGTCTTACTAGCAGTTTGCTTATCGCCTAATTTGTCTGAAACTTCTTTTTCTTCACTCTTCTTATTATCACTCTCATCGGATGTTTGTTTATCTGTTTCTTCTCCTTCGTCCCCGCCTTCTTCTTCTGCTACTTTTCTTTGTACTTCATTCCTCGACTCCATATTTGAACTGACAGGCTGAGTTTCATTTATTGTCTTCTCTTCACCTAACATCACTTTTGATGGTGGTTGCTCTTCATCGATTTTATGTGGTGATAAAATCCCAGGATTATTTGTACTGGATGATTCATCTTTCACTTGTTTGGTTTCTTCTGTTGTCTCAGGCGTCTGATTCACTTCTGAGGTGACTGATGTTTCAGCCACAGTTTTGCTCTCTTTTGGGTTACCACCTTCAGTTGCCTTTGTTGTATCAGCAGCGATGGCTGTTGTTGTTGTTGTCGTCGTCGTAGTGGATGGTGCTAGTGTAGTTAGCTCAGGAATAGATTTTTCTTGAGTTGTAGTAACGACGGGTACAGTATCAGTAGTAGATGCTGATGATGAAACATTAGACTCTCCTGATGATGTTATACAAATACTCATCAGAATAATGTTAACGATGAAGTACATAATGTATAATTTTTTAGAATACTCAAAACACTTTTTTGCATACATTTCAAATGATGAATGTGTCAGTTTCAAGTGGGAGAATTTGAGATCTAATATATGTGTATATATAAAATAAATAATACAAGGGAAGTAAGTAAATTTAAATGATCTCTTTATCGATCAATGAATCTTTAGCAGCCCACACACTCAAATGACATATATACAAACAAATCTGCCCATACACATTTATATACATTTATGTATGTATTCGATCGATTTGTATAACTTCAATGTCATATTAATTTGATTGGTTAAAATCATATTTGGTGATTTTTTATATTTTTCGCCAAACTTACAAAGATGTGGATTAATTCATAATAATAAATAATAAGGAAGAGTACATCACGTACGACCAGACTGTAATACTCAAGGTCTGTTAACAGACGTGAAAAATGTATGTATAAAGCATGTGATGTGAATTGTTGTAGTTAAATCATTCATTCCTATCTAGTGTATGTGTGTGTGTGTGCGTAAATCTGTATGTGTGTATATGTGTATGGATGTGTTGTGTGATAGATTTGTCCGAATATGAAATCATATTGTAATTTTCTAACTGGTTAAATGACTGACTCATGCTATTTTTATCCTTAGTTATCCTTTATAGTTATCATCCTTTTTGGTGAACTTTTTTAAGATATAGACATTGAAAAGTACAATAAAGGCTTAAGCGTGTGTGAGTGTGTTAGCCATTGTAGGCTGATGAGTAAGTGTTAAGACATTTGTAATAATTTAAGTTAGACTTCTCAACAAAAAGGGCTATGATATACACATAATGGATAAAAGAGGGAATAACGTTTTTTTTAAATGTGACTGAATATTCATTTTATCTTGGATCCCAAATAAAATTTGCTTAGATTATAAACAACTGCAGTGAATTATTCATTCGTCTGAAGTTTTCAGGTTTGATCCCTGTTAAGGTTGTGGGTCTACGTTGCTGAAAAGTTTCAAAATAGGACGACAGGGCTGTCTAGTACTCTAACGTCGGTTTCCAATTATCTCTCTAATTAATGCTGGTGCCTAATGAAGATTCAGCAGTTAAATAAGATTAAAACATTTCATCATGATATTAGTTAGAGAACCATTGAAACCATTGGAGTACTAAACAGCTGTTTCGTCCTAATTTAGGACTCTTCATCAGTACTCATCCACCTGGATTCGAAATCAGGACCTTCTGGGTACAAGGCGAGCTCGTAGACCATCAAGCCACTGGGACCCGATCCTATGGCCAGTGCATGAATTCCAACTTCTGTCAATTCGCAACATAGCGCAACTACAAGCCAATGTCTTCGGCGAGTATTTGTCCTCACACCTGAGCTGCTGCACCCTACTGGTCACGGCTTCTCACCAGAACCCCAGGTAACTACCTACCTGAATAGGGCAATTCGCTAGTGAACATCTCATTGATATTCAAGTGTTGGCAGAAGTTGGAATTCATGGGTCATTGGATCGGGTCCCAGTGGCTTAATGGCCTACGAGCTCACCTTGTAACCAGAAGGTGTTGGGTTCGAATCCCAGTGGGTGCTTATGATGAAGAGTCCCAAACTAGGACGAAGCAGCTGACCAGTACTCTCAGGTTTTCCAATGGTCTCCTAACCAGTGTCAGCTCATGGCGAAATCCTCTATGCAGTCAAGCAAAACCCTACAAACCAATACTTGAATATTAAAATATTTGTCTGAAAGTTGTGTAAGAGCTTGTGGAGAGCTATTGACTGAAGTACTGGCGACCAGTGGTGTGTCTTTTGTGGATGCCCAATGTCTCAAGTTTTATTTAATTCTACTAAATATGTGCTAGTCGACTTAAACGACGTGGAGATCGACTTGTATCAGAGAACAAGCTCGCTGATTTAGAGTAGACAAATGATACGATGCTTCTAGATGAAGACGATGGTGGAATTCAGAGTCATATAAACACCTTCAGAAAAAGTCTGAATATTAATAGCATGCAATTCGCTCCTAGTTAAAAGTAAGATGGTTCTGTCGGACCGGTCTGCATATAGTCCCGTTTTAAGGATAACCAGTGACATTATTGAATGTGTTGATACTTCGCTTATTTGGGAAGTTGCATTAGCCTCAATTGACAGATTTTTCACAAAATCTCAGCCCACCTACGAAAAGCTGGCTAGCGTAGGCGAGATATCTGGATGGACAGGTCTGTCATTCTATCTTTTTTAGGACTGTCAGACGTGGCAGTTGAAAATGGACGATATAAATGATGACGCTAACCGTCTTTGACCATATGTATCTGCCTTCTGTCTGTCTGTCCTGTTAGCTAGTATAACATGGTTTGTGATAGGCACATAGTTTTAGGTAGGGAGAAGAAGTCAGTTAATGTATCTGTAAATTAAATCGATTAAGATGGCCAGAACATATGTGATGGATACCAAGTAATGTTAGCTAACATAGAACTAGATTGGAAAAGAGTTAGGCGTGGTCAAAATAAAACCTAACATCAACGCATAAAGTGTTTCACTGTTGGTTTGAGTCAATGTAAGGAGGTGTATGTTATCTGACTGAGGTACTGAACACCATTAGTGGATTACTGGATCAAATCCTGCTCTACCCTACTGTAGAATGGACAATTCGGTAACATTATGAACGTTCAAAGTATCAGTGCGGCTCAATGTCAAGAGCATGAAAAAACAACTTTTCAGGTTGATAAATATAAATATTGAAGATCATAAACTGAATGATCGAAATGTACTGTTAGATAGGTAGAATTCTTATACCTGATTTAATTTGGATATTTACTATTTTGAAATTCTTCGTAATGGATCAGTATGGACTGGGAAAAACCAGAAAATGTTGGAAAACTGCTACGTCCTAGTTTTAGCTTCTTCAGAAAAGTCACCAGAATATCATTGAGATCGAGTTCAGCACTATCCCCTCCCACTAGGATATTTTTAAACTTTAGTTAATTTGTAGTATGACACAGCCATGAGCTGATTCAATTCAAGAACTATTGGAAAGACAACAGGGAGCGCTGGACAGCTGTTCAATCAGCCTAGTTTGGGACCCATCAGCAGTACTCCTCTTCCTCACTGCCAAGGTTCGAACTCAGGACTATCCAGTTTCAAGGCGACCTAGTTTGTGGACCATTAAGCAACTGGGACCTAATCCAATAACCACCTCACAAATTCTAATTTCTACCAACCCAGGTGACTACCTACCTGAATAGGGACATTCGCCAGTGCGAGCATCAGATTAATTAATAATCATGTGTTGGTTGGTTTGCAAGGATTTAGTTGGTTATAAGATTTCCTTATTAACCATCAATTTCATCATCAACATTATTCTTTGTCCACTAATCAGTGAAATATCAAACTTCATATGACTGATGTCAATAATCATGAAAAAGTATTTAAATTTATTTATTTATTTCGTTTCATCAAGTGTGAGAACTTTTCAACATTGAGTACTGTTGAACTATTTTAGGTCATTGGTTAGATGATTTTCCTGAGATTAAGTTTGTTACTGAGCTTGACAAATACAATTTATTCAATTACATATCCTAGCCATTCTTCTTTGTTCTCCCCTTTTGTATTCCTTGGGACTTTAAAGGCTGACTGCATGCAGAGTTAGTGATGAACCCTTGATCCAACTATATGAGATTGTTTGCTGATAAACATTTTAATTCGTACTAGCAGTCAGTTAAAGTTATCTTTCCTGATACCAAATATCCGCTTTAGTATTCGAAACTTTTCCTTTGGATTAAAACCAGGGGAAGTTTCATACGAATTTCTACTCGCATAGCAGAGTATTAAAAAAATTCAGCCATGCCACCATATTTAGCAAAAGTGCTGCATGAGGAGAGCGGGTCTGAAGAAGGGCTAGTAAAACTGTTTTATGTATGATGAAGAGAATTTGTAGCTCAGGTGGATGATTTTGGTGTGGTTACGTTCTCTGAGTTAGATAGTTAATTAGCGAAGCTTTCATTGCCACCTACTGGGCGACATCTTCAGCTCATACAGTTCAATTCGATAAAGTGACCTTTCACATTTCTCCACGAGTTTATTAGTCAGCTCTCCTGGTTGGTGACCTTGAATGTAACTGTTAATTTTTGTGTGTTTTCACACCCTCTAGGACACTTGCATTGGACCCGATTGTTTCCCTGACTTCAACTTTGATCCTTTGTGTGTGTGTGAGGTTTCCTTCTTATCGGTTGGTAAATTTTGTCTATCTCGATGTGCCTATTGACTGATGATTCACTGGAATACCAGACTTCGAAAAATTCTCTAGAATTCTTGATGTTTCCTCTGTATAATATCTGAACGTTGGTTGTCCCAGTCGAACTGATGTCCATGACTGTCTGTATGTAGCGATATGAGGGAGCGGATGTCATGCTGTCTTTTGACAGCTAGCTTATGCTCATGGATACGAAGACGAAGGGGATGTCCACTTTCGCCATTGTAGTGTTTTTCGCAGTTGTTACAATTTATTTTGTAGATGATGTGGGCTTTATCTTCTTTCGTTGATGAGTCTTTTGGTTGACACAAAGCCAGCTGAGTGAAATGATTTTGTTGGTTTGTGTTCAACGTCAATTTCTAAAGGTTTGAAGAGTTTTGTAAGGATTTCTGAGATATCCTTTATGTATGGTAAGGCGATTTTCTTTGTGCTTTCCTTGGGGGCGAGGCTTTGACTCGGTGGGTTGGCTTGGGGGTGTATATCTTTTGATGAAGTTCCTTCGATATCCATTATTTTGGAAGACGTCCATGAGATATCTTTCTTCAAATTTCCTTAAGGTGGGAGTGCTACAATGAGTCCTGGCCCTCTTGAATAATGGTGTTTGTATACAATTCCTTTTGTGTGTTACTGGATATATATATATATATATCCATATGTAGGGGACATCTCAGAGATCAACGTAAGGCTCTTCAAACCTTTAGGAATTGACGTTGAACACGAACCAACAAAATCATTTCACTCAGCTCTATGTCAACCAAAAGACTCATCAATGAAAGAAGATAAAGCCCACATCATCTACAAAATAAATTGTAACAACTGCGAAAAACACTACATTGGCCAAAGTGGACGTCTCCTTCGTCTTCGTATCCACGAACATAAGCTAGCCGTCAAAAGACATGATATCCACTCTCTCACTCATATCACTACATACAGACAACCATGGACATCAGTTCGACTGGGACAACGTTTAAACACTAGACAGAGGAAACATCAAGAATTCTAGAGAATTTTTCGACCCCTGGTATTCCAGTGAATCATCAATAAATAGACAAATCGAGATAGACAAAATTTATCAATCGATAAAAGGGAATTTATACACTCAAAGGTTCAAAGTTGAAGTCAGGGAAACAATCAGGTCCAATTCAAGTAGCCTAGAGGGTGTGAAAACACACAAAAACAAA